TTTATATACTATTATAAGGCAATATTTCTTTAAGTATATTTCCTATAAATGGTAATTTAACATTAAAAATAAAATTAAATTACAATTAAGATTAAAATTAAATTAAATAGTCAGAAGGAATTTTAAACACAGGACATTCTACAAATTGATTACAACATATATGTTTTCTATGTTTTTTCTTGTCATATATGTATTTCAAAACTTTGTTAAAATCAGCAATTGTTCTATCTTGGTTGTATTTCTCTAATTTAATTATGGAAATTATTATATGAATATTGTTATTGCCTATTTTCTGATAGATTTGCCTCAAACAGTTTTTTTTTGTAAATGAAAAATTGAATTCATTTTTTAATACAATCTTGTCAGGAAAAAAATGACATTTGACAAACATAAATGTCAGTCCATCAATTGCTTTACATGTGTTTTCTCTTTCAACTATTTTAGGTAATCTCCTTAAATATTGACATTCATTACATTCATTATAATTAAATTTACATATATTATGTGAATAATATTATGTGAATAATATTATGTGGTAAATTTAATTTACTTAATTCAACTTTTTCATCTTCTAATTTACAAGGACAGTTTTTGATTTTGTGTATCCATAATTTTAATCATATCATTTACATAAATTACATTCAAGAATTCATTAATGATTTCTTCCTGCGCAATCTCACTGAACATTATATACTATTATAAGGTACTATTCTTTTAAGTATATTTCCTATAAATGGTAATTTAAACTTTCAGCAACTCGTGCCTCATTAACGGTCTGTTGTATCCCTCTAATGTATAGTATTTTTGATTTAATTCTGTATCAATTGCTTCTACAGTATATCCACCTTGTAAAAAATGACTTGTTCTTTCTTTTTCTGTTATTGCTTTCTTCCTCAATATCTTCACTCGGTCTCCTACTTCTAAAGTTGGATATATCCTTTCTTTCTTTGCTTTCATTGAAATATTTAATTTTGATTTAAATTCATTGTCTTTGTCTCTTGCTTTGTTTGGAGTTAGTCCTGTTGCGCTATGAACATCTTTATAATTGTACGTCACCATAATTTCATCTATGTAGTCTATCCATTGTATATTAGGTTTTCTATTTTTTTCATCATTCTCAATTCTTTTGAATAATTTATCCTTGAAGGTGCGTATAATTTTTTCTGCAAAAGCAAGATGACCTCTAGTCCTGTAAAGTTCAATATTTTCACCTTCAACAAACTCTTGAAATTCACTACTTGCTATTGCTTTCTCATCGTCAGTATATATGGTTTTTGCTTTTCCGCCCATCTTTCTTATAGCCTCTTTTGTTCCTTTGATGACACTACCTGTTTCTTTCCTCCTTACTGGAACCACCACTGCATATTTACTTAAAACATCAATACATACTAAACCCGCTCTGTATCTTTGTTTTACCTTTAAATCCTTTTTTGAAATAAAAAAATATATCAACTTGATAAGTATGATTGTTGTGGGGTGCTACAAAACTGTTTTCTCCTCGTGGCTTCTTTTTGATTTCAATATTCTTTCTAAAGAACTCTTCAACGTCTGCCATTTTTATTGTAGTTTTTTTTTTCTTGCTGTCTTCTAAAGTGGTTTTCCTATTTCCATAGCCACTGCGATCGTAATAGACATCACTAATTATTTTTTGCTTATTATCACTCATTATAAATAGATGATATAATAATATAATATTATATCATTTATTATTGTTCTTGTTCTTGCTCTTTGAGCCAGTCTTGATGTTTTTGTGATTTTTCGTGTCTTTTCTTGTGTCCAAATGTGTAGTGCTTACCGCAACTGCATAAATGTTTTTCCATTAAAATATGTTTCCTTTCTTGAAATCTTTTTTTGTGATATTCCTTTTCTTCTTCCTTGTGAAGTTTTTTGTATTCCCTTCTTTGTGCCAGACAGGCAGGTTTGTTTCTCTCATAGTATTCCTTGGATGTTTCCTTCCTACCTGCTACAACTTTATTTATACAAGGTCTATTTTCAATGTAATAACCTTCTCTTGAGCGTAGTTCTTCTTTGCTATTACTTGGGTATATTTCAACTAATTCTATTTTACAATTACCAATTCCAAATTCATTAAATAATTCAAATGATGTTGTCTTAGTGCAACCACCCTTTAAGTATGTAGTGTACTTGCCTCTATGTCTAGTCATCCTTTGGCTCAAACTTTCAGAGGCTGAACCAGAGTAGAATTTTGTATAAGCGTTATCTGTTATCCGGTAAATCTTTCCATTGTCATATCTATTCATATCCCTAATACTCTAAAACAATCTTTTCTTTAGACCAAAATCTGAATAATTATTTTTGAAAGATTTTTCAAAAACAATCAGTGAGCACTACAATTACAATACTTACAATATGGAGTGCAATTATCCACAGAATGACACAGTGTATTATCAAGTCTTTGTGCTGTGAAGTTTTTTGATACTTTACCTGCCTTCATTTCAATATAAAATTTAACAGAACAATGAGCACAGCAACCGTGAAAATGTTTTAAACACCAATGTTCATCAATGTAGTTTTCTTCATCTATTTCTCTTGACCCTTTCTTATCTTGTAGTTTGTATCCTTCTACTTTGTTCTTAAAATATCCTACTATCAAATTCTTTTGCATCTCTTCATCAGCCTTCTCATTTTTGAAAAAAATAGACATTGTTAAAATCACGACATCGTGTAACAGATGTCCAAATCCATTCTTTATTCACCAAATATGATTTTTGCCATTCATGTATCGTAATGTTTCCGCTTATTGAAGTTCCTTGCCTTGAATCTGTGGTAGCACAATATGCATATCTAAAATGATTGTCTATGATACTTTCATTTACTGTTCTTACATGTTCTTCATCTTTGATGTCCTGTATTGTAATGATATTACTATTACCTTCTATTTTTGTAATTAACCATCTGATATTTACATTGAATTTACCTTTATCATCTTTCCTATACAGTCTGCACATCAGCATCTCACCTACTTCATACTTATCTTTCTTTCCTAATCTTCTAATTTCATTAGACACTGCTTGACATCTCATATTAGTATATGCTAGGTTGTTCTCACTTTGCATTACATCTTTTGTGAATTTAAAATGCTTGACTATCCGATCTTCAATGCTCATATCCTTATGCCAAAGGTCATCATAAATTTCATCTAACTTCTTTCTGTTTCTTTCTCCTTCTTCTGTGTCTTTGCCTCCTACTCTCTTACATATCTTTAAGAAGATGTTATATTTAAAGATTATGTTCATACAACTTTCAACATACTCATCTACATTCTGACAGTTAGTATAGGGTTCTATACTTGGTAGTTGCTTGACATCACCTGCACCTATTATGATTAAATCAGGGTTCTGTTCAGAAAACACTCTGATTTTATTTAATATATATGGACTTGCCATATAGATTTCATCAAATACTATTACTTGATAAGCACTGTCTGTAATCATAACTAGGCAACTTATCATCTTTAAATACTGGAATGCTAAAAAAGGTATTTAAAGTTTCTGCATCACAATCTATCTCTTGCTTCAACATATTCTGAGGGACAACACAAAGGGTATTGTATCCTAACTTGTTAAATTGTTTGCCTATATGTGATTTTCCAGAACCAGCGAAACGAGCACGGATAAGCATCCTCTTTCTTCTGATTTTTTTTTTTTTACAAATGGCTTCTGTATCCCATTCATCCTCTACTTCTTCTCTTTCAGATTTATATACCGGTATTTTAGGTATTTCATTATGTCTCCAGCTATACTTGTGTAAAATAGGTTCTACCTTGTTCGTTTCAACTCTCCAGCCACCTACGCCATCATAAAAGTCTAATGCCTTCTTTGCCTTTCTGACATCTTTTTTAGCAATATGGAAGGCATCAGTCTTAACAGCATAAACGTTTATGTTCTTTGCACTTCTCATAGCTTTCATACATGTGAAAATTATGATTTTGTAAAAGTAATTCTTTAATGTGGCGAAATCCATTCATTAACTTTCTTTCACCTGATTTACTGACAATATAGTATCTAGTTTTTCTGCTTTTCTCTTCTATCTCTCTGCGGGTATTAGTTTCACAGTAGTAAGTTTTTCCATCTTCAATTTTGTCATCAAAATCTGCATAGCTTTCACCACCATTCTTATCTAAAAAATAGGTTTTTCCATTTTCATTAGTTTCTATTGTCCAATCGTTCCCTAGTTCTCTCCACACACCGTATTCCTCCATCTTCATCTCATTCATTGTGTAAATTTTTACCACCATACTTTTTTTGATGATGCAGTGCCTCCTTAATGCCATCAAACATTCTACTCACAGTTTTTCTGTTGAAGGATTTTTCAAGCAAACCGAGGGCAATATCTTCACACTACACCCCTCTTAATCAATTCTTTAAGATGAAGACCATAAACTAAATTGAATTTCTTGTTAAAAATGATGTTGCCCTGACAGGCTTTCACCAAATACAGTGTGTAATCACTAAATTTGTTTACATTAGATTTATCAACATAAGGTTTCCAAACATCAAACTCTTTGAATACTGGAACTTTAACAATCTTAGAGCCTCCAAAACTAAATGCTTTCCTAGTATCAATGCTACATTTTTGAACATCAATATTTACATGCTTTCCTAAGTATCCACATGGAACTATTGTCCTGCATTCATCTAATATTTCTACATCAAGGTCTGTATAGTAGGACTTGAGATTTTCTGAAAACAACTGCTTGTGAAACTTGAACATTTCCTCACTTACCTTGTTGTATTTTTCTTCTGTCTCTACTGCTATGTCTTCATCAATATTATCTATGTTCAAGTGCTGAGTTACAATGATGTATAGAACTTCTTTGTATATTTTTTTTGCTTATTGTCATTTCAGAGTGATCTGCAGCCGGTCGTGGCTCACCTGTGAGGAAAAAGTTTGTTTTGTGCTGTCATGCATTTGCAGTGGTAGCGGAGCCACGAAGTGGCCTAGTTGTGTTAGTACCGGCCCCTGAGCCGGCTGAGCCGATGGAGGGCCTCACTGGTGGGCTACGTGGTTCGTTGGACGGGTCCGACGGACTGACTGGGGGCTATGCTCCTGGATTTGGGGAGATTCCGCTCCCTGACTTTTCGAGGAGAAGAAGAACGAGAGGGGTGACTTTTGGCAGTGAACCTGGTAGATCGTCGTCTTCCGGGGCATCTCTGGACAGCCAGGTGGACTCTGTGGAGTTGAGCTCGGGCAGTGCTGTCGAGGAGATGCCTCGTGGAGAGGTTAGAGGTCTCCGGGATAGAGCTGTCACCCCCGGAAACCTGACAGGTAATGAAATGAGCCCAATGGATGCAGATCCATTCGCAAACGATCCCTGGAGGAGCCATGTGGTGCAGAACTATGTGGCGGAGAATTGGTCTGAAGCAACTTCAGTGTCACAGAGTGACGGGCAAGAGTCCGACAGTGCTTGGGGAAGTTGGCATGGAAGTGCGAGGTCGTGGAATAGCTGGTCATCCGGGCAATGATCCAACTACTCGGGTGGCGAGAGATGGAAGAACTGGTCGTGGAATGATGGTGATGATCAACATTCCAACTGGTCTTGGAGGACTGAGTCGCTACATGGTGGACTTCGAGACAACCCTGCAGTCCTTGACGGAGATGTTGCAGGACAAGTTCAAGATGATCATGGAGTTGGTCAAGCAGATCTTCCTCGCAGAGATTCCAGTGCAACCCACCGGAATGGGGATGTGGGCAGAGTGGCTGATCCAGCCTCACCAGCTGCAGGTGGGAAAGACCCTATGAATAGACCTCTTGGAGAAGTTCCAAGTGGTGTGCCTTCAGTGGCTGGAAATCAGAGCCAGCAAGCCGCGGCTGGGGGAGGAAAGATCAGTTCAACCTACCCACCGATCTTCTATGCCAGGCCTGGCGAGAGCTGGGAGTTGTATTGGAGGTCGGTGACCTTTTGGATTGCTTCAGAGGGTCGATCACTTCCTGAGGAGATGAGAGGACCAAGACTGATGCAACAGTTGAGAGAGCGGGCAGCCAATATTGTCCAGCACCTGTCGGTGGAGCAGGTGGCGGCTTCGAATGGAGTGGAGCTCATTCGGCAGACGATGGAGAAATCACCCATCATCAAGTTGCTGGACCAGAAGCGAGTGGATCAACGAAGGAAGAAGTTCATGCGGCTCTCTCGGCTTCCTCAAGAGTCAATAGAGTCCTTCATCAACAGAGCTGAGATCTACCGGAGGGAGAACCAGTCTTCTCCGGCATACCAGGTGGGATCTCAGTTCTATGTGGGGCATCTTTTGGATGCTGCAAAACTCACGAAGCGTGACCACGCCTTGGTGAAGGCGGCTTGTGGCGGCACTGTGGAAGATGAGGACTTGGTCACGAATGCCCTGATTGACCTGGCGGACCAGTTGGAGGGACTGCCAGGGTGTGCCATAGGCAAAGGCGAACCTACCATGGACCAGGAAGATAAATACTTGGTCCAAAAGGGTGGGGTGGCTTTGTCATCTACTATGTCATCGAGTTCCTCTACGGCAAGTTCAGCTCCCTCTGGAGGCAAGAGACGCAAGAAGTTTTTTGGGCGTCGCCGTTTTCGAGATGCTCTGATGGCCATTTTGGAAGATGATGACATGGGAGAGGACGACATAGCCGAGGAGGACCCTATGGGAGAACCTCTTGGTGAGGAATCAATGGATGAAGATGAAGAGGACATGACGTCCTTTGCTGGTGGAGCTCACAACACCTTGGAAGTTGGGGCGGCTCCTTCATCGCAGGGATCCTCTTCTTCGACAACTTCTGGCGTCTCCAATGGTTCTTCACCCAATGATCTGGCAATGGCCGAGATCTACGCCCAGGAGTACAAGGCCAGAAACAGGGTGAGGGAGAGCAAAAAGATGCGGCAATACTTCCAGAAGGAAGGCAATGGCATGAACAGTGGAAACTCCCGTGACCGGGAACAAGTTCGGAGATGGGTGAAGGAACAACAGAAGACAGAACCATGTTTTATCTGTCGACAGCTGGGTCACTGGTCGCAGGAGTGCCCGTACCGGAACAAAGCACCGGTACATGCCTCAAATGTGACTTTTCCGGTGACTGATGCTCAGTCCGAAGGGGATTGGGCGTACTTGATCGGATGTGCTGAGTCCGATGCCAGGTACAAAGAGCGCCCGCTGCAGCAGAGACAGATCCAGCCTTCATGCAACTTTATGGTCGAGACCCCTAAAGAATGTCATCAACATGAAATTTATTGGTCATTGTCTGAGTTGGGCGACAAGATGATCCTTGACTTGGGTTGCATGAAGACTGTGGCAGGTACTACTTGGATCAATCCAGTCGTTCAGAAGTGGAAACAACATGGTCATTATGTACGAGTAGTTCCAGAATCAGAGTCTTTTCGATTTGGGGATGGTCATGTGAATCGCAGTCGTTTTGCAGTCATTTTGCATGTCTCCATTGCGGGCATCCCATGTTTATTGAGAATATCAGTGGTGGCAGGTGATTGTCCCCCTTTGCTGTCAAAACCTGTTTGTTCGGAGTTAGGACTGGTAGTAGACACTTCAAAGCACACTATTTCATCTACCAGACATGGAGTGAAAGCGTTTGGCATGTCACAGTCAAAGGGTGGACACTATACTTTGAAAATTGATGATTTGGCAGATTTGCAAGCAGTGCCTGAACATGCAGTTTTGGAACCTCATCGAGAAGTGATGGCATTGCGTTTTTCAAGTGGATCAAAAACAGGGATGCCACAGCCCCCTGATTGTGAACAGCGTCCGTCGGGTGTGCCGCAGGCCCATGGACGAATCTCCGAATTCGAAATGGGAGAATGTCGGGATGGTAGATTCAGCCAGTTCTCTCGAACTGGAGGAAGTGAATCCCAGAGACCAGCCGAGACAGTCTTCTTCGAAGAAACCAGTCCGGCAGTCGACCAAGTTGAGGAGACCGGCAACCTCTCCTGGAACCAGAGCGCAGTCAGCGCTGGATCGGGTGCGCAACCAAGAACAGATGGCTCAGATGCAACAGATGCAGGCCCAGATGCAAGAGATGTTCATGCAGATGCAGAATGTGGCCATGGTGGCGCAAGAAGCCGCGGGCTCAGAGGACAAGAAGGTCAAGCCTCGGGCCAAGTCAGCATCCGGGCAGAACAAGACCAAGGGCAAGCCGAAACTGGGGGCTCTCACCAATCCCCAGGCAGACTTCCCGACTCTGTCCAACGTGTTCTCAGACGATGTGACTTACAACATAGCCAAGTCGCTGCTGTCGCAGACGGTGACGTTCAAATGGAAGATGATGTTGCTGCTGTGTCGCATCAAGGCCGCCGTGGAGCACGAGGGCAAGAAACGATGGAAGCGCAATCCGCGCTGGATCATGCACATGCATGGCAGGCACCTGGCATCAATGTGGGGTCATGTGGGATCCGCCAGACAGCTGTGCTTCAACCCAAGGGTATACCCTCTGGCTCTGGGTATGCCGATCGAGGTGGAGATCGACGAGGAGCACCCAGCACCACAGGGAGCACAGCGGCGGAGCCCAAGTGCAAGGCGGAGATAAAGGCTGAACTCCTGGACCCGAATGCCCCCACAGTTCAAGAACAAGCACGTCGTGCTGAAGATCGAGCTGATGTCGTATGTGGCGGTGATCCTGCTCTTCACCAATGTCATGCTCCGGAAGGAGAAGGTCCTAAAGATGCTCTTCATGGCGGCGCAGATGTCAAAAAGATCACATTGAATCGCCGGCAGAGGCGAAACATTCAGATTGGAGTGCACAAGGCTTTGAGAACACACAAAAGGATGCATGACCTCGTGCAGATGAAGTACAAGCGCTGGACTCTTCTGGAGGTGTTTGCTGGACAAGCTACTTTGTCATTTACAGCAGATCAATCCCAGAAATGGACAGCCTTACCACCACAAGATATTATCTATGGCCTGGACCTGAAACTGGCGGAGCACCAACAAATCTTGAAGGATGTCATCCAAGTGCAGCAGCCGGAGGTGATTACCTTGGCTCCACCATGTGGTCCTTGGAGCTCATGGCAACGGATGAGAAAGAGAAAAGATTTGTTGAGCGCTCTTCGTCGAGAACACCGACCATTTTGGGAGTTCGTCTGCTGGGTATGGGCACATCAAACATTGCATCACGGCATCGTGGTGTTGGAGCAGCCAGCTCAGAGTGATGCCTTGAGAATGCCAATGATGAGCAGGAGAGAGCAGGTGTATCAACAAGAGGTACACATGTGCCAAATGGGGTTAGTGGACGCTGTCAGTGGTCGCCCACACAAAAAACCAACTGTTGTGCAAATGAACCACCCTGCTACCAACTCGGCAGCATTCCCGGAAAGAAAGTGTGACTGTGAGCCTGGAGAACATCAACCAATAGAAGGGTCAGTACGGATCGAAGATCCGAGCGGCAGTGGCAATATGCTCACGGTCAAGAGATCAACCTTGGCTGCGCAGTGGACACAGGAATTTTGTGACTGGCTTCTGGATGGGCTGGAGGCAACGTTGGAAGAGGGTGCTCAGGAGATCCGTCTTCCGCTACATGCTCAAGTTCCGCCAAACAGACTGTGGCAGACTGTCCCGGTTGAAGTTGAACAGACACCGGAAGGCCAACTGAGGCAGCATATGAACATGGTGGAAAATGGAACGAGATATGACTACATCAACTTCACTGGAGGGGCAGCTCTGCTGCATCGAACCATTAGGTCAACCTTGGCACACTTGCATGTGGCGTTGGGCCATGTCACAAATGAAAAGCTTCAGAGAATGCTGCATCTGAATGGAGCTCAGCCTGAGGTCATTGAGGCGGTGAAACATCTGAAATGTCAGATATGTTCCCAGGTCACCGCCCCAATGGCGACCCCGAAGGCAGCCTTTCAGAGACCGATGGCATTCAATGAAAGGATTTTGTCAGACACATTCTATGTTTGGGATGCCAAGAATGAGAAATTTGCGGTGACGCATGTGTTGGATGCATTTTCTCTTTACCAAATTGCCATGGCCATGAAAGATCCATCAGCTGACAACACCACACAACTCCTTCGAGACAGATGGATAGGAGTGTTCGGTCCACCAAACATCCTGATGACTGATCAGGGAACAGAGTTCCGAGGCATCTTAGAACCTCTGCTGAAGACTTTTGCGGTTTTTCACGAGATGGTCCCACCAACGGCACATTGGAGGATGTCTTTAGCTGAAAGACATGGAGCAGTGCTGAAGGTTCTGCTGATGAAAGTCATCAAGGAGACTGTGGTGACAGGGTTGGAGGACCTTCAGTCTGCGGTGGCTTCCGTCACTGCTTCGAGAAATCAACAAGTACGTGTGGCAGGATACTCTCCTATCCAGCTAGTGTTCGGAAGAGATTCGACTATGCCAGGGAATTTGATGGATGCTTTGGCAGGTCAAATGAAGTTTCAGCTCTCCAGACCTGCTTCGGTTGATGAGTCTTTCATGAGATCAGCGCAGTTGAGAAAGGCAGCCGCTGATGCTTTTCAGTGGATGGAGGCCAATGAGGCCTTGAAGAGAGCGGCTGGCTCTCGGTCAAGGCTGCCCAAACTGGAATTGCTGGCAGAAGGAGCACAAGTGATGTTTTGGGAACCCCCGGCAAATCGTCGTGGTCTTGCTCGGAGACTTCAGGACAACATCTCATGGATAGGGCCAGGATTGGTGGTGGCCCTGGAAAGGAAAGATGGCGCGATCAAGCGCGTCTGGGTGAGATATCAGAACAAGCTGAAGGGCATGCCTTTAGAGTTCATCCGCTTGGCAGTGGTGGAAGAACAAGAGGCCTCGACGATTGCCAAAGAGGCCTTAGAAGACATGGAGAAGCAGATTGCGGGGGGCCGAGTCAACGCTGAAATCGACAAATCTTCTTCATCATCTTCCTCAACCTCGTCTGATGAAGAACAAGATCAGCGGAGACAGCAGAAAAAGTCCTCTGCTCAGGCCTCAACCTCGAGATCAAAGACAATGAAGGCTCAAGCATCGGGCACGGGAGATCCTCAGTTTCCTCCTGCTGAGTTTTCTGATGAGGAGCAAGAGGGAATAGCCCCTGTGTCTGAACAGCAGGTGCGTAGTGCATCATCAGTGCTGGATGATGTACCGATCTCGATTCACAGAAAGCAGGTTCCATCTCAACAAGAACAATCCAGTCGCCCTCAGAAGAAAGTACGTCTTTCTGGACTTCGAGGAGATCCTGCTTTGAAGTCATTTTCTGAGAGACGCGCAGTTTTTGATGGGGCCATGGACAAGACGCAGAAACATCTGCAGAGAATGCGAGAAAAGTTGCAACCCAGATCAGTGCAGGTGGCGATGCCTACTCAATCAGGCCCTGCACCAGACCAGGTAAAAATCAGTACATGGGAGGATGAGCCACCGTTTGTAGATGTGCACCGGTTCTACAACCCTGAGTATTCAGACTCGGACGAAAATATGGCAGAAGCCTTGGCGGTGTCGATTGACACCAATGTGCTGGCAACATTGCCAGTAAGAGATCATGAAGATCTACAGATACCGCCGTTTGACATGCCTTCAGACTTCGAGAATGATGAAGAAGTGGAAAGGTCGGTGCTGCATCGGGATCCCAGGCTGTTGAATCCAATGCCTGGTTTCCTGGCAACACACTCAATGCCGGCAACTCCACAAACCAGGATGCGGCTTCCCCCTACTATGGCTCCCATGCTGCGGGAGGTGCCTTCTCGGATGCGGCGACCCCTCAAGAGAGAGGAGTTTGAGCCCATCATCCGAAGTCAGAGAACCGAGCCTCCGCCTTCAAAGGACTACTGGATTCTGAGTGTAGAAGAGGGCGAGCTCTGTCGAGTTCATGTCGAACCACGCCTCCACATGTTTGACATCTTGGCCTTTTGGGCTGACAAAGAGGAGGATGCTCATCGAGATTTCCCCAAGTTGATCAGCAAAGATTGGCTTACTGGTGTCAGGGCTACGCAGGTGTACTACTTGCACAATCCACTGAGGTGGGGTCCAGCTCGCACGATGGTAGCGGCAACAAACAACATGTTGGATCCCTTTTACCAGAGGCCACCAGCGTTGATGATGAATGATTTCATCTTGGACAACGTGACGTGGGTGGGCCAAGGTTTGAGGCCGCAATGGAACACTCAGCAGCACCTAGGTGGTGTGTGGCAAGGGTTGACGAGATTCCAGATCAAGGACCCGACAGAGTACAAGATTCCATTTGACACTTGGATGAAAGGGAGGCATCACGCTGAACAGATGTGGAGAGATGGACAGAAAGCAGTGCATGCCTTTGTGGCAATTCGAGAGACGGCTGGCTGGCCAAATTCAGAGATGATGGCTCAGCAGGTTGGGCCTCTTGACATGCCAGAGGTACAGGAGGAAATCCAACGTCTCTCAGGTGCCGCATCAGATATCAACGTTGTTCAAAAGGAGCTCCAAGAAGTGTTTTTCAACTTTGTGCACTTCTCAGATCTCCCTTGCCCCAACCAGAGGACTCAGTACGCAGGTATCAGGGAGTTGGTGGACGATCCGGAAGATCTTCCAGATGCTCAACAACCTGAAACAGGCAAGGTTAGATTGGAGCTGAAATGGTCTGACCTATCTCCAGCATGGCAAAGCGCCTTTGAGCAGCCGATTTTGGATGCCTTGGAAGTCTACTTCAAACATGACGCGCTGACGCATGTCATGGAGGATGAGGTAGTAGATCGAACAGAGATTCTTCCTTCCAGGTTTGTCTTGGTGAACAAAAGTGATCCCAGGAACATCCATCCGGATGACAAGGCCTTGGAAGGGGCCTCCCTCAAGGCAAGATTGGTCATTGCAGGCCACCGTGATCTACGAGCAGGAGAATACGAAACAGAAAGCCCGACTGCCAGCTTACTAGCTCACAATCTCCTTTGTTTTTGTGCAGCCCAGTGGAACTGGAAGGTTTTCTTTTCGGATATCTCTGCTGCCTTCTTGCAAGGAGACTACTTGCCGGCAGAGAGGAGGGTTTTTGTTCAGACTCCCAAGAATTACCCATTGTTTGTCAGGCAGTTTTTGCAGACCAAAATACCTGCTGGAGCGCGGACAGACCTTTTTCGAATGAAAAAGGCAGGATTTGGATTGGCAGAATCACCACGTCTCTGGTATCATCGATTCAAGAGAGGCGCCGAGTCCATTGGGGGCCGGGAGATGAAACTTTGTCCTGGCGTTTTCTCCTTTTTTGGACCAGATTCCCAACTCCGAGCTCTTTTGGCAGTTCATGTGGATGATGTGCGTTTGATTGCACATCCTGATCATCAGCAGACAATGCATGACAAGCTCAATGCCTTGTTCAGCTTTGGAGAATGGAAACATCCTGATGATTGGACAAAATTCTGTGGACGCTATGAGAAACAGTTGGAGGACGGCACCATTTTGATGCAGATGGACTCCTATGCTGAGCGGCTGTTGGACCCGCCTTTGAGATCATCGACGCAACAAAGGTATCCTTTGCAACCCAATGAGAAGAAATGGATTGGGACAATCACAGGGCAATTGAACTGGATGGCACGTCAGTGCCGAGCAGACCTATCTTTTGGGGTCTCCCGGATTCAACAACTGGCAGGAGTGAATGATCCCTCGGCGCTCACGGAGCTGAAGATTCTGGTGGATCGAGCCCGCCAGCCTGTGACGATCAAGTTCGAGCATTTGGGATGTGACATGTCGGAGATGATTGTTGTAGCCGTCTCCGACGCCTCATTTGCTGGAATGCCCAGAGGACGTTCTCAAGGTGGTTTGGCAGTGGCCTTTGCAAATCCGAAGATTTTGGAGGGGCAATCCAAACTGTGCATCGTGACTCACCACTCAGGCCTTCTGAAAAGAGTAGTCAGGTCCAGCTTAGCAGCCGAGATTTCACAGGCTGCCAACGTTTTGGAGGAGGCTGACTTCACTCGGGCGCTGTTAGCAGAAGTGTTGAAGCCCGACTTTTCATTGGCAAGCTGGCTGGCTGTAGCAGCTATGTGGAAGCTGGTGCTCGTGATTCCCGGACGGGATATGATCTACTGAATGGCACGGCATTGGGTGAGGACAAGCGGCTGGCAATTGATATTGCCGCCTTGAAGCAGTCCTTATCCGAGGATGCTGGTGGAAGACTCATCCGATGGGTCCCGGGAGAAGAGCTGATTGCAGATGACCTGACAAAGCTGTGTGGAAATCAGAAGTTGATGAACGCCTTGATGACGGCGACATGGGCGCTTCGAGATACCGAAGTGGCTCGTAAACTTCGAGCGGACGCAGCTGCCAGGAAGAGAACCTACCGACAGAGAGTGTCGGCAAACCGGGCCTTCATGGAGCAGATGAGAATCCATCACTGACTCCAAATGGGGTTAGTGTCATTTCAGAGTGATCTGCAGCCGGTCGTGGCTCACCTGTGAGGAAAAAGTTTGTTTTGTGCTGTCATGCATTTGCAGTCTTATCTATTAAGTGATTTAATTTTACTTTAATTTCGGTTGCCTTACCTGCATTATATTTTATTTGTGGTTCATATCCTGCCTGTTTCAATTGACAAATGGCTTTATCTAAATCGTTGTCTTTCAATATCATTTTATATTCATCTTTGTCTTTCAGTTGTAGTATGTCGTTGATGTCTTCAATCATTGTGTATTTCATTGCTTCCTTTCTCTCATTGATATAGTAGTTGTTGCCAATTCTTATTGTATAATTATCTTTTGTTTAATCCAATTTCTTTAAGGAATTTAAGTTATGGTTAAGTGTGTAGATATGACTATTTTTAACTAAACCGTTGAACGTACGACTGTTGAAGTCTACGGGGTCGTGTCTATAAATGAGATTGCTATCAATATCATATAACCTTGCTTTGATATTAAAACTCCTTGAATACATTGTCCATCATATTTATATTTGCCCCTCTATTTTTAAAATCTGCATCTGTTTTATTAATAATTTTCAGTATCTCATCTCTTGTAAGGTTCTTTGCTAACTTTCCTCTTTTTTCTCTCATCAGTGTATCTGCGTAATGGTCAGTCAATGTATTAATCCAACATTCATTTTCAATGTGTCCAGTTTTCTTAAGTGTGTCCTTTAATGTTAAGCAATCAGGTTGGACTTCAGTTTGGATGTATCTATGGTATATGCTGACATTGTGCTTAGCATCAGTCAGTTCATCAGCGAAAACATCAAAATCAATGTCATCACCTTCAAGTAAATCAATTTGTTCTATCCTGATTGCATCAATGTAGTTGTAACAAGTTGCATTGTCAGTCAATTTTTTAAACTCGTTGTCAGTCCTCAGTGTTAATATCATTCTACTAAATAATGCACGGTCTTTATCCTTGAGGACTTTGACTTTGAGCATTTCTTCAATCCATACCGGTGATAAGATGTTACCATTCCTAACTGACGGACTGACTAGAAGCGTATAATATTTTTTCCCCTCCACTGTGAAACTAACTCTTAGTTCCTGCTCTATCCTCTTTTGAAAAAAGCATATACTTAATTGCATAGGTCTTCCTGTTTTTCAGCATTCTTTCTCTTGCCATTTTGGTTATTCTCTTTGATGCCCACGCTAGGTCTTCTGGACTAGTTTTTTTTCTCAACCTTACACCTACGGCTTGTTCTTTCCTTGCCTTTTTTGCCTTTCTTAGTGCTGAAAAAACTTTAGGTCTATTGCGTAGTGGTTCAGCATTCTCATACTTTGCTACTGCTTTGTTATATTCTTTGTGTCCTTTCTCATCTTTTGCAAGAATACCATTGATGAGTTTGTCAGCGGTTTCTTTTCTTGAAATCTTTCTATCTTCATAAAGGTCAGTGAGTGTATTGAAATTTTGCAGTGTTGATGTTGAAATTTTGTTCTTAATGTTGCCTCTTCTATTTTTGAGATTTTGGATATTTTTTCTATAGATTTTTTAGTCATAAATTTCTAGATATAATGTTTATACGAATATATCTTTAAGTAATTTTCGTATAAAAGGTATTTTTTCCATTATTTTTATATTAAACAAATATACTTAAAGAATTGTAGATATAATATATTAAGATAAAAATGTCAAAAAAACTTGAAGACTTAACGCTTGCAGAAATCAAGGGTCAAATGTCCATATATCAGACACTATACTATAAGAAAAGGAAACAAGAAGACCCTGAATTTGCTGAAAAGATGAGAGTTTTACCACGGCTTATTTGCATTCTTTTCACTTATGGTTACCGAAGTGTAACCGGAATATAGTTTGCTACGAACTTTTCACCAAACAATGGTGTATTTACTTGAACGGCTTTGGCTCAAGAAACGTCCTTGTGCTGATACCACACGTTTTCGTGGTTATCAGCCGTAGCTCTCGCTGCGGTTGCCATCTTGGACTCGTCGCTGTCGGCTTCTTGCCTTTGCGCTGTCTCGGTTTATCCCTGTCCCTTGTGTTCTTCCCTTTTTCGGTTTTCTCCTTGTCCTTTCCTTTCTCTTGCTGCGGCGGCTTGCTGCAGCTTCGTGCCTTTATTGCAAAAAAGGAGCCTTGGCCATCGTATGCCGCGCGGTGAACGTGGTGGTAAGAAAACAAAGGCTTCTAAGGATAGGGCACGTGAAGTAGCGGAAGGGTTGAGAGAACCAGGTAAGGCACCGTCTTCAATTTCAGGGATTGAGAGGGTCAGTAAGGCTGAAGGAGCCGTAGCTTTGGAATCCAGTTCCTCTAAGGCACCATCAATCACCTATCCCAAGATCACTACAGAAGTCAGGAGTGTACCCAGGGTGATTTTGACTACCTCGACAAGAACAGTGCCTAAGTTGAACGTTCCGGTTCCAAAGGCTGTTTCTGGTGATAGGTCTGCCCCAAAGACTCCGCCAAAGGCACCCCCAAAAGCGAGTCAGCCTGTGTTGGCAAAGGAGCCAGTTGCAAAGGCCACGCCAATTGCAAGCCCCAAAGTGAGTTCTGCTCCTAAGGTTGCATCTGTTGTTGGTTCTAGCACGGATCCTGTTCCTATTGGTGAGTTAGCGATTGTACCGTACGGGAATCTAAGTCGACCACCAGCCAAGAGGGGAAGGGAGCCTGTTGAGGGTGGGCTTGGTTCTGGAGCTTCATCATCTTCTGGTGTTGTTGCTAAAGCCAAGGTCCCACCGGTAAAGCTTTCTGAGCCAATTGGATCTACTGAGTTGCGACCAAATCCACGGGATATCGCATCAACCGCCCCTGTGATTGGACCGGGTCAAGAACTTAAAATCAGGTTGAGTTGTGATCTTCACGGTTGCTTGGATTTTGGAAGTTTGACTGAGGGAGTCTGGTCTACCGAAAGTCGTAGTTCCCTTGTGAATTGGCTCAGTTCAAGTCAGTATCACCAGGTAGGAGTGTGCACGTATATTGGTTTGAAAGGACTTGATTCCCAAAAGAGACGCAACAACGCAGTCAGCGAGGTCCATCGCTTTAACCAAGATTACCATACCAACCTGCGTATCTTGATCACCACGGACCGTGAGAAACACGTGCTCAGTCCAGAACACGTTTCTTGTCACATTGACGACAAGCCCAACTTGTGTGAACTCATTCACGAAAGGGGTCTTCCTGTTGTGTGTTTGAACCTAGCGTATAAACAGAGGCTTGGACGTCACTATCAACCTCCTCCTCCGTTTCCAGTGGTTGCCAATTTTCAAGAGGCGATTGCAGCGGTGCGGAATTTCAGGTTGGTGCCGCGTGTGTTCAAGGTCTGGCCTGGGATCTTTCGCACGGCTTGAGCTCTGGCCCTGCGCTCGCGCGGGCAGCGGTCTTCAGCCTTGCTCTTACTGAAACTTGGTTGGAGGTTAGGTTGAATGGAAGATAGTTCGGAGAGTTCTCAGGTAAGTGGTTCTAGTTCAACATCCGCGATCATTGGTGGTGCCGTTGGGGGCGTGTCTAGTGAATCTTCTAGCGGGGCCTCAAGTGACACCATCAAGGGTCATCTCAAGCAGTCTAGACCACCAAGATCCATGACTCCTCGAACAGAGCGAATTCAAGATGAGAGACCGATGACAGTAGCCGAAGGTTCGATTGTTGCATCACCAAGTGATTCTTCTAGCCTTCCACCATTGGAACCATGGGACCCTACTGAAGACCAGTTTATGGATCCGGTTGCTAGTGGTGTGAGTCATTCATCAACTCAAGGGTCTTATCACTTGCACAGCCATCAACATCAAACGGTAAACATGGACCAAAGATCTGTCAATGTTGACCAACGTAGTGTTCAAGTGAATAATTTCGATCCGGTTGTTGTGGCAGAAGCGTGTCAAGCTGTGTCACGAGCTCAGTCTGAAGTGTCACAAGTCCAGGCCCAAGCAGAAGTTCAGAGGGTTCAGGCTTTGGCACAGATCGAGGTTACCAAGACACAGGCTAGATCGGAAATCCAACAAGCTAATGCCATCACTGAGATTACCAGAAACCAAGCATTTGGGGAAATTCAACAACTTCAGGGTCAACTGAATGCATCCAGCTCTGTCGCTGCTGCGCGGGTGGATGAGCTTAGGAGGGCTAATGAAGAGTTGCAAAGTGTTCGAACCCAATTGGATGAATCTGGTTATCGTGAAAGGTTGTTGAGTGCTCAGGTTGCAGCGTTGAGTGAAGAGATCAAAAGGATGAAAGAATTTGTTGGAACACCCACAAATAGGTCAAACGAACCTGTAGGTGGTGTCAACCCACGCCCCAATGGCACGGATTTACTGTTGGCTAGGATGATTGCATTGGAAGAGAGAATGAAAGTTGCTGAAGATCAATTGAATGGTCATCAAACTTACATTCAAGAACTTTGGAACCAAGCACCAATCAATCATGGTCGGGAGCCTAGCGGTCGTCCTAAGTCCGGGTCGCCTGTTCATTTCCACATTGCTGATGACGAAGAAGAGAATGATGGTGACTATCATGATGATAATGTTGATCAACAAGGTATTGATGAAAATACCATTCTTCGAATCAAAGATTTGCATCATTTGAAGTTACCTAACCTTCCTGAGACAGCGGCACAATTCCGAACATGGAGGAATGCTACCCGTACTGCTATCCTAGCATATGATCAATCATCAGAAGGACATCTCACTCCTTGGTTGTCAAAAGCTTTCACGCTTAGGGGGGATGAAGCTAAGGAGCTCCAACGTGATTCCGAAGGTTTTCCCCGATTTGACCGTGTCATAGCTAGCGTGTTATGCAAACCCGAGGTGTTGAGGTCAAGCTTCGGCTTAAAGGTCCAGGCGTATGTAGAGAAGTGCGAGATGAGTGGAGAGTCTGTTCGTGGACGCATGCTTATCAACATGGTTAGTTCTGAGTTTGATACCAGTCATGCCTCCACATCAATCACGTCTAGCCTTGAACTTTTTCAACTTCCGGCGCCCCAAGACAGTGCCACAGGACTTAAGAATTGGGCGGACAAGGTGACATACGTTCTCTCCCAATTGCCGATTGCAGATCGACCTCAGGATTCTTTGATGTCGCAGTGGGCTTACAACTCTCTCAAGAAGCACTCACTACTTAGGAGAACCATTGACCAATATGCCGATCGTCCCAATCTTCGTTCATTTGACTTTCTGTGGACAGGGGTGGAACAAGCTTTGAGAGAATCTCAGTATGACACCAATGCACAAAGCATCAGGGATGATCTTCGTAAAGGTCCCAGTAGCCCGAAAAAGGACACCAAAGCTATGGTTGCGAAGGGTTCCCAACCCAAAGGGAAGGGTAAAAAGGATCAGGGTTCGTCTTCAAAGGAGACCCCAAAGGGCAAAGGAACCAAAGGATCTCAAGACCCCAAAAAGGATTATGGGAAGAATTCCCCAAAGCCTAAGGCCAGACCATCGACTTCATCTAGTGATCCTCCACTATGTATCTTTTTCCAAAGGGGAAAGTGTACTCGGACAAATTGTCCATTTGCTCACGTGGCTGGTGGTGGTGCTGCTCCAACTGGAAATCCAACTGCAAAGTCGGCTCCTACGCCAAAGGCAAAGGTAGCTGCGGCTATGGTAGCACTTGTCACGGGCCTTGGTTGTGTGGGCTCAGTTGAAGGGCATTCACCAGTTTTGGGAATGTCTGGAGGGGTGGATTCAGCTAATTCGCGATATGTTGAGTTCATCGGAGACACCGGTGCGGGTGAGTCGCTTGGTTCTCGGTCAGCCTTGTTGAGGCAAGGGTTTGAGGTTCCTGATCATTGTTTTGTCGATACCCAAACTCCACTTAAGTTTTCAACTGGTGGTGGTTCGCAACAGGGTACCCAAACGGTAGGCTGCTGGTCCATCATTTGGAGTAATCCCCAGAATGTGTATATGTTGGATTCATGCCCCATGGCGCTTTCAATTGGAAACCTTGTGCAAAATGAGGGTTAGTCTTTTGTTTGGCCCTGCAATGGTTTACCATTTTTGGCTTCAACAGAATGCAACTTCACTTATGATGTTGAAGGTGATCCTTTGTATGCGCACAGAACCGAACACAATGTCCCAATCTTTCGGTTTCCTGCTACCTTTGTTCCAGGTTTGACAGCTGTTGCTGCAGCACCGGGGGGGGACACGAGCCTTCAAATGTAGTAGTGGAAAAGGGTGATTCAAAGGCCGATGTTGAAGGCATTCCCGATGATCCAGCACCAGATCATGATGACGAACTGTTGGATATCGAGGTTGACAAAGATCATTTGCTTACTCATTTGCCTAAATCCAAACATTGCCCAGTGTGTATCCAAGCAAAGCTCTATGATGCACCCCACCGCAAAAGGGCGAACCAAAGAGAATATCTCCGAGAAATTCGAGACATGGAAGAACCCAAAGAACCACTTGAAAGGGTCGCATGTGACCATGTGATTTCTAGGACTCATCCAGGGATTCATGGTGAACAGTATACCTTTGTAACCATTGATCGGTATAGCGGACTGGTTGGTTCATATCCTCTAAAGGCAAAGAATGCAGAGGGAACTGAGGAAGCACTCAGGAGGTTTTGTGGTAGCCGGAAGGCGGGAATCGTGTCGGTCGCAAGTGACCGGGCACCCGAGATCTTGGCTGCTTTGACGAACCTTGGTTTTGCCTCTGAACCTGCAGAGCCTAGGAATAGTATCCATAACCCGTTTGCAGAATCATTCATCAGGACTTTGAAGGGCATTTCAGCCTCCATCCTGTTGCAATCCGGTCTTAGCCATGAGTTTTGGCCGTTGGCACATAGGTACATTGAATGGGCTTACCCCATCACCAAAGTATCCACTGCAGATCCAGAGATCACATGCTATGAAGCTCATCATGGTTATGCTTACGAAAGTGTCAAGGCACCATTCGGTTGTTTGGTTTACATCAAGTCAGTAGACCCATTACCGTTTGCACCCAAAGGGGAAAGTGCCTTGTTCCTTGGTGGTGAGTTGATTGCAGGTCAGAAGTTCAAAGGGTTATATCATGTCATGCCTTTGTCATCATTTCGGGATGGTACCTACCGGGAAAGGATAGTCAGAACTTTGGCGTTTCCTCCGGGGCAGTGGCAGTTTCCGGTGAAAGGGTCAGGTGAGAATGTACTAAAAGTTGACAATCAGCCTGGTTACTTAGGGAACTTCCCCGAAGAACTTGATGATGAGGATTTGGATGATGAAGAAATTGCACGTAGGGATGCATTGTTGGAAAAGGAGATCAAGGATTTCATCATTGAAGCCGAGAAATCTTCCCATGAGTAGCACCAGAGTTTTTCCCAATAGCCACTGATACTGATGATGATTTACAACCCGTAAAAGTCAAAAGAAAAACGTTAACGCAACAGTATCAGCATCTTCAAGTCAAGCTCCAATGGATACATCCAGCAAACCTAAAAGAGGAACGCCAGAAACAGATGTAGAACCTAAAGGAAAAGCCGGATGCCCAAAAATCAAATATGTTGATTTAAGACCAGAAGCTGAAAAGCGAGAAGGTGATGACATGCCTGAAGAAACCGACAGAAAGAAAAGCAAGAGAATAAACAAAAACAAAGAAAAGAAACAAAGAAGACTAGAAGCAGAAATGACAAAAGAAACAACACACATTCATGATGATGATGAAGAAGATACAAAAAAGGGAAGCAGAGTAAGACAAACAATGCAAAAACCAACTATACCAAGTAGAGCAAACATACAAACAATATATGAAACCTTAACAAATGCAAAGAACAAGAACACCATTACAGCAGAAGAATATAAAGAATTTAATGATGTCTTCCAAGAATTTAAGAGAGCAAAGGGTAAAGAAAAATCCAAACATGCAACAAAGGCAAAATCAATTTATTCAAAACTATATCCGAAGTTGAAGAAGAGTTATAATGATATGAAATAATTATATAATATTATATTTAGATGATAATATTAATCATTTTATGCAACTGCAACAGCAATTAATCCAGTGTGATTATATTTGTTGTTTCCTGTCTTGTGTGTTTTACCTTCCTTCTCTTTCTTTCTGAGGTATTTTTCTCTATCTTTTTGTTTCATCACGAAAACGTGTGGTATCAGCACAAGGACGTTTCTTGAGCCAAAGCCGTTCAAGTAAATACACCATTGTTTGGTGAAAAGTTCGTAGCAAACTATATTCCGGTTACACTTCGGTAACCATAAGTGAAAAGAATGCAAATAAGCCGTGGTAAAACTCTTCCCCCCCCTTCAACAGGATGGTGCATACAGCACACGCTCGCACATAGGATTCCGGATTGGATTGGAGGAGGACGTCAACCTGCTCCTCACCGAAGTGAAGTAGTTAAGACGCCGAAATTGCCAACGCAGAGCCGGAGCTCTTTGCACTGAACAAACTGGAGGGCAAGTTCAAGCCAAGAAAAGTACCACCCATGCAGCTGAAGAAGCAGCAAACGCTCATTCAAACGACCTGTTTTGACGTGGTTCGTGTTCAAGCAAAACTTGCCAGTAGGGAAGAGAACCCTTTAGTTGCGCCTTCCAAGCTTCTCCAGCCCAAACAACTGCCTCTCTGTGTTGTGACAAACAAGTAGCAATCACCTGCCGAAATTGACCTGTAAGATCTGCCGCGCTAGCATCCGCTTTGGCATTGAGCATGCGGCAACGCAAAACATCAAGCCACCCTTCGGGTGGGCGCCATCGAGGAACTTTATTATGCGAGGGAATCCAAGCACAAGAAGAGCCATCAACCAAAAGCATCCTGATATAATGCCAGTATGGAAAAAGATCTCCACCCCACTGACCAAGCCGCATGCCACGATGAAGACGTTGCACAAGAGCTTGGTTGTCAATCAGCAAGCGCACCGCTCTGTTCGCTTCATGGGAAGCCAAGCAGGCTTGAAGAAGTGCACCTCTCTCGCCCGCAGCAGGAGTTTGCTCGAAACCATGCACCAACCCATTGACCGTGGGCCCAAGATGTGCCGCCACAGCCCAGCTGGCACGCTGCCAAAGTTCGCACCCTGGAGCGATTGCGCAACTTCCATCCAAGCCCAAAGTCGGCGTTTGATGTGGGTCAAACTGTTGTAGAAAAGCCACCAGAATGGGGTCGGCCGTCATATCTTCAAATGGAAGAACAGCTGGAGCATCCACAAGAGGAACAAGCAACCGCCTTTCAGTTGGAGTTTTGAGATCACCATGCCAAGGATTTGCCTCGCAGTAGAAAGTGAAATGCTCACGATCAGGAGAGCTCAAACCACAATCACACTGCAAGTCGACTTCCAAACGTTGAGTAACTCTCCCATCCACTGCTGCACCTGTCAAGACTCTGCGACCACAATAGTTCAAATCATGCGCCACATTGGCCTGGAATTGGAACACAGGCAACTTACCTTCAGGTAAAGGACCCTCCGTTTTGGTGTCCTTCGTCCACATAAAAGCCAGCCATGCTGCAGCAGCAGCTTTGTATAAGCTTGAAGAAGACATCCACCCTGGTTTCAAAGTCCCCACGGGAGTGATCCACAAACCACCCTCAACACGCCAATTCCAGTCTTTGCAAACAGTATTCCACCTTGGGCCTGGCGAAACAGCGGCGGGCACACCTATGGCCAAGCGGCACTGGCGCTGCCATTCAGCCCGGGCTGCAGCAAAGTGAAGCGCAAAAGCAGGATGCAAACGCGGTGTGCCCAAAGAGTTCCAGAACAGCAATCTACTGCGACCTGGGGCAGGCTTGCGCCCCCAGACCGCCGCTTCAATACTGGAGGTCCAACTCTTGATGGTATCAACATCATAGTGGTGAAAAGCTCCTGTCCATGCAAACAAAGAGATCACCAACTGTCCCAGCAAGGTCTTGCGGGTGCCCAAACGTTTCGCTGCCAACCTGATTTTGCGACACCTCTCCTGAATGTCAAAGGAAAGCTTCTCTGCATTAACACAAGCACCTGCACGCTCCAAATTGTACTGAATACCCAGAAGCGTGAACTTGCTGCAAGGAGCCCCCAACACGTCCTGTATCTGTGACAGCTGAGGCGTCAAATGTTGCTTGGTTGTGAAACTATTTAACTTGTCAGGATGGAGTTCCATGCCCAGAATTGCATCAACCTGCGCACCTGCCTGCATGGCGTTGGTGACCACGTGAATGCCGTTGACACCTTTCTTCCACATTGTGCGGTCATCCAAATAAACTGCAAGAGAAACACGAGGCTCTTGCAAAAGAACGAAGCGCACCCAGACTACCATCACCGCATTGAGTAAGGCTGGGCTTGCCGGGCAGCCCTGCAGCAGCCCCCGCCGAGCACAAATGGGCTCTGAATGGAAAATGCCTTGCCAGGCAAACCACCTGCGTTGGTCAGTGTAAAAATTTTCCACCATGTCACACAAACTGGCCGGAGCACCCAACCAGCGCCAAATAGCAAGTGCAGTCTTTGGACAAACTGAATCGAAACACCTACGGATATCGGCCTTGCAGCCAACAAAATCAACTCTTGAACGTTTGGCAGCACGAATGTCTTCGTAGAGCAATTCATGAACATCCATAATGCCTCTTCCTGGACGGCCGCCACAAAGCTGAGGCAAGGCCCATTCTTGTATCCATGGTCGGAGCTTTTGCAAAGTTGCACTCATGCAGATGCGCCACAGGACCGTCGTGATGGCAAGTGGGCGCAGGCCCCCGGCCGCCTTTGGAATCAAGGCTATGCGAATATCTTTCCACATTGTAGGAACTTTCGCACACTGCATGCACGCCGACCACAAGACTGCAACGTGATTCCAAAAGGACTCCGGCAACTTGCACAAATGAGCCGCAGTCCAAGCATCCATACCAGCCGCTTTTTGTTTAGCTTTCAACGCAGAACGCGCCAAATCAGCCCCAACCACTTGAATGCTTTCAGGCGTGACTGGGTCGACCTGATTGTTGAGCTGCAAACACAAATTTGAAACCTGGTCTAAATGTGGGAGGTGGTCCGGATTCCAATGCGTGTGCCACGCAGCTGCCTCCTGTCTTGCCTTATCTTCAGGCAAAATAGGACCATCGACCTGTGTTGCTGTAGGTGGATCAGGTGGTTTTTGCTGAACCCACTTCCCCAGTTTCGCAACATTTTCTTGAATGTCCTCTTTCCAAGCAGCAAGGCGTCGCTGAGACGCCTTTTTGGCCACCTCATCTGCAAGAAGCAAAGCGGCGGGAGCCAAACCACCATCAGATAAAGAAAACGCAGTAAGAGACGAGTGCAAAAGCGGAGCATCGCGCAACAGCTTGGTTTGCAATTGCGGCGAAGGAGCCTTTTGATATTCGACCACCCGCCGTGCAAATCTTCTCAGCTTTCGCTCCTCCAAAGTCTGCAACGTAGGAGCTTTGGTTGATGGGGGGCTCGCCATTTTGTGCGGGCCGTCCCTTGATGCCCTGCTGGGCTTGCCTTGTGCAAGCAGCAAAGATTCAGCACAGTTGCTCAGGACCACCCAAGCTTGATCCACATTTCCGACGGCCAGAGCATCGGTGAAATCTTGCTGTGATTCTGCCCAAGCAACATTCCAGTTCTCAACCTCCACATTGCAAAGCAAGAGTGGTGCGCTTGCCGGCAATCTCCAAGGCGTGGGTAAGCTACCATGCACATGTATATCGTAAATGACTGCATCATGGTCAGCAACACCTAAAGACTGCATTCTTCCGGAAACAACAACTCTGGGAGTTGAAAGCGCGTAGTCAATGACCACCCCTGTGTATTCACCATCTGAGTTGCGATGGGTGCCAGGGCCAATCTGGTCTCCGCAGACTTGTTCATCGCAAGAATACCATTGCCCCGACGCCAGCGCGGTGGAGGCCGGCCAAACATGCCTTTCCCTGTTGAAATCGCCCACAATGATTGCTTCTTCGCCCAGCATAGCAACGTATTCAAAAATGGCAGCCAAGGCGTGGCCAGCAGCTGTTTGATCGTTGGCATGTAGGTACACATTGATCAGAAGAAGCGGTCGCTGGTGAGGTCGAAAAAGCTTCAGCGCCATGGCACGGTCAGCCGGTGCAAACTGACTTGGAATGGCCAACGCTTCAGCAGGCCACTTTGACAAAACTAACGTCCCGCCAATCACCACATTCTTGGCATCTACCCCTTGGCCGCCAGGAAAAACTTGCCACTTTCGCTGGTTTGCAGCTGACTTGACAGCGCTCCAACTGTCGACATTGACTCTAGTTTCTTGCAAACAAAGAACATCGATCTGCTCAGTCTTTGCTAACTCAAAAACGCCACCCAACCGGCCACTCAATGACCGGACATTCATAGTTCCCAACCTTAAAGTGCTAGACGTACCCGTCA